TGCTCGCTCGGGTTTGACGGATTAAAATTGTTCGACTCGTCTTGGGTCTCCGGCAAGGCAACGTCGCGAAACGTCGTCCCAGGCGCACGGGGTCAGCGTCTCATCGGGACGAAGAATCCGTTCACAAAGGCAGCGCGACACCTCCGTTGCTTAAGAGAACGGTCCGTGGAAGCGGATTTCACAGAACTGCCTCTGAGATCTTCTTCTTATTATTCCGGTGCACACAGAACGGCCCGTGGAAGCGGATTTCACAGAGCTGCCTCTGAGATCCCTTCAAGTGATGCTCCGGTGCCCACACACACACAAACAAGGCTTGCTCTACCATAATCCTAAGCGAACATCGATTTTTGTTTGCTGTTGTTCAAAGCGAGTCGACAACTTTGCGTACAAAACGACGATAACAAACGGATTTAAAGTCACCTTTTTAATTTTATATCGTTTCCAATAAATAATTGGTTGTGTAAACGGAGCCCCCCCCCCCCCCCCCCCAAAGACCCCCTTTTTTTTCTCTGCTGACCGAGATCGCTTTTTTTTGCGTATTCCGTGGAACCGTTCGGGCCAAACGTCGGGGCAGCCTGATGGTCTCCGACCGCTAGTGACGGTGGCGGCATATCATTGGGCAGAACGTGTGACGCATTTAGCGAGATAGGTGTGACGCAAAACGCGGGTGGGGGGGGGGGGGGACGATGACACCAGCGCAGGGATGTTTGTTCCGTTGGAGGAACACACGACAGTTGTGCGATGAAAGTATGGCAAATGTTGATGACAGGACCCAGTACGGGACTCCTCCACTTAGGAACATTTGACTTACGAACTTTCAGAGATACGAACAAACCTGGTCCGAATGTCACGTAGATGCCACGTGAACCGGTGGCATCTACATCTGGAGAACATGAAGAACCAATGGCCTCTACATATGTAGAATATGAGGAATAATTGGCATCTACATCTGCAGAACATGAAGAACCAGTGGCATCTACAGCTTATGAAGAATCGGTGGCATCTACATGTGCAGAACATGAAGAACCAGTTGCATTTACATCTGCAGAACATGAAGAACCAGTGGCATCTACATCTACAGAACATAAAGAAACGGTGGCATCTACATCTATAGAATATGAAGAACCAGTGGCATCTACATCTATAGAATATAAATAACCAGTGGCATCTACATCTGCAGAACGTAAACAACCAGTGGCAACTACATCTTCAGAACGTGAAGAACAAGCAGCATCTACAGCTGCAGAACATGCAGAACCAATGGCATCTACATCTGCAGAACATAAAGAACCAGTGGCATCTACATCTGCAGAACGTGAAGAACCAGTGGCATCTACATGTGCAGAACATGAAGAACCAGTTGCATCTACAGAACATGCAGAACCAATGGCATCTACATCTGCAGAACGTGAAGAATCAGTGGCATCTACAGCTACAGAACGTGAAGAACCAGTGGCATCTACATCTACAGAACATGAATAACCAGCGGCATCTACATCTGCAGTACGCGAAGAATCGGCGGTATCTACGTCTACAGGAGATTATACAACTTTTCAAGCCATTCCCCATGTATAGTGTAGATGCTGTACAACACCTTTGGACTTACAAACAAATCGACTTACGTACAGACCTCTGGAACCTAACCCATTCGTAAACAGAGGAGTCCCTGTAGAATATCTACTGGGGTTGATAGCACCCCATAGCAATACAACGACCATTTTCCCTCCCAAAACAATACATCTGAGGAAAAAAAATGTATGTTAAACTTCACATTCACGAGGCGAAGTCATTTGGGAGGATGTTAAATTGAATGAAAAAAAAGCTTAAAAAATAATTATGACATGATTGATTTGTAGCAGGAAACCTCCTTGTTCATAGCACCTTTGATTGGTTCAGAGAGATCATGTGATACAGTTCTGGCTGTCGATTGGCCAAAGTTTCACAGTTCAGTCAATCACATTCTGCTCCTTATTGTCGTAGGCTGTAAACTGAAATTACAGGCCGTAAAAAAAAGAAAACATGGCAAAACGTATTTTCTGCCACAAACACAATTATTACAACAAACACGCTTAATATTAAAAGCAACTGGCAACATATGAAATTCACGAGCAACTGATAGCGGCGAATGTACACGCAAGCTAATCCTCTGGGTCCAGAAAGCCAGCTCGTTCGGCGCACAAATATGGATCGCGGAATGAAGAAATCTACGTCGTTGCGATAATGATTAAGCTTCGGTAAAAAGTTAAAAAGAATTAAAAATAAATGAAGAGTTTGTGCTGTCAATTCTAAACTGACGCTTCTCCATGATCACGAGTGGAGGTAGATCATTCCTTGCGTTGTCATCAACAGCACCGTGAATCCAACCAATTAACTTAAAATCCTAAACATGGCTCAACAATTACTTCTTACCGACGACAGAAACTCGCCCGTATCCGTATAGAGAACTGTGAGCCGTGGCAAAGCTACTACACTCAAATCCTCCATGAAATAAAATATATATTACGTTATACTATTCAATAATGCCTGAATATCAACAAACCCAGTGGAACGCGGAACGTAGGGCCAGCGGTGGGGCCAACGGTTCCAACCGCGCGCCAACGTTGGCACCAACGTTAACCTAACATTGCGTCAACGTTGGCCCAACGTCAACCTTAACATCAACCCAACGTTGTGCGTGCTCACTGGGAAAAGAGCTCAGTGTTTTACAGATTCCGCGTTAGAACGATTCACCAGGTCCGAACGGTGCATCATCGTGGCTCGAATTCAATCGATTAATTTTGTCTTCCGTGACCCCCCCCCCACCCCGTTTTGCGCACTGCGTCTAACCGTCAGTTCCCCATGCTTGTTTGTATTGTTTGGGTGCTCTCAAATCGATACCCTGAACCTTCACGGCTGGACGCTGGAAATCCAGTACTTGTGTGTGTGTGCGCAGGGAGGCGGGTGCGAGGGTTGGTGGATCAGGAAAGCAGCTTCGTGAGGCTCCTTCGATGGGGTACGGAGGCGGTAGAGCAAGCGGGACGGGGATTGAGTGTGACCTCCTCGTTCTCGCATGCGTCAGTTTTCTCTGGGCACTTCAAATTACCTCCCACGTGCATCAACACCCGTTAAATGGGGCTGGTCCAAAAATCCAAATGTAGGAGAACAGAGCTTGGGCAAGTGTTGGTATCACTGGTCCTGGCCGTCCTCTCTCTCGCACGCGCTCTCTGTCTCCGAGAGTGAACGAAAACTGCCCGTTTCGAAGTCCACACCATAATTGTTGACAGCGAATTGCGAGTTAAGTAATCAGTTTGTCAACACCGCCGATTAGTGCATCGTGAGAATTACGATGTCTGTGTGTTTTTTTTTAAATCGAAGAACCGGTGAATCGTTGGCCACGCCGAGTCTGTTAAGCCGCGCGAGTCCCCTTTTTTTTCTGTTGCTGACGATAAAAAAAGACGTACTATTGCACATTGCTAATTTGATATTACTCGTATAATTGTACTTAATGACGCAACAGAATCATAACCGTGAGCACCACACGGCGTTACCAAATAAATAACTATGTACATTTCTTCCTGGCAAGAAAAACCCAAAAAAGAACATTGAGCGTGATGATCCCATAGAACTGACTCTGGACCCTTCAAAATTCGGGCCAACAGATTAGGACCCCTCTTAACAACTAATCGTTTACCAATGGGCCTCCACAGAGCCCAATGTGTAGTGTACAGTGTAGTATATAGTCGTGTGTAGTGTATAGTGTAGTGTATAGTAGTGTGTAGTGTATAATAGTGCAGTGTATAGTAGTGTAGTGTATAGTAGTGTTTAACAAGTAGGCTTTCGCGACCAATATCGTCCAGAATGCAGGTTTTTTTTGGGTTAGATCGCATACAAATAAAACCCGCTACCACCCGACAACAGCCAATTAGTCAGGTTTGTCACGTAAACATTCCAATTATTTACTAGTACAGCACACCGGTGTGTTGGAGAGCCAAGCCACAACATTTACAATCTGAGTACGACGTTTCACCTGTAATTACAGCTAGCTTCATATAGGTGACAGCCTGATTTGTGGAGAGGTCCACCAAAGTAACAAATTGGCACGTTCTGTTTACGTGAAAAACCTTACTAATTGGCTGTGTCGGGTGGTGGCGGGTTTAATGACACATTTATATATTTAAGTGATGTAACCCAAAAAAACCCTATATTATGTATAGTAGTGTATTGTATAGTAGTGTAGAGTAGAACTCCTCTTAATGACCACCGCTGTTAACGACTAATCGCTTAATGACGGGCCTCTATAGAGCCCGATGTATTCGCTTACTGACCATTCCCCCGTTAAGGATGTGCCGCTGTTGTAGGTACAGTAGAATGACGGTACAGTACAAGAGGACTCCTACGGTACCGTCGTTAATAGGGGTCCTACTGTACCATCGTTAAGAGGGCTTCTACTGTACCATTATTTTGAGGGGTCTTACTGTACCGTTAAGGGGGGGACTAACTGTACTGTCATTAAGAGGCCTTCTACTGTACCATTGTTAAGATGCCCTCCACTGTACCATTGTTAAGAGGCCTTCTACTGTACCGTCGTTAAGAGGCCTTCTACTGTACCGTCGTTAAGAGGGCTTCTACTGTACCGTCGTTAAGAGGGCTTCTACTGCAATGGCGAATTCTAAACCGTCACGCGCACACCAATGGAGATTCGTCGTACTTGTAGGTTTGGGAAGGACTGACCCATTTAAGTCGCGAAAGATTATTTAAGGGTATTTGGTCGCTGATGCTGCTGCCGCTGTAAATGTCCTCATGATGATAATGCAATTGGTTGAGCTTCGTTTGTGATAGCCGGATAGCTCCGGATAAAGAGCTACATAGCTTAGTGGAGCCTTATTTGGCAAAACCCGATTTGTTTAGCTTAAAATATTGGAATGGCAAATGGGACATCACCCTTGGTTGGTACTAAACATTGAATATCTGAAACATCTGGACTGGGCTCAGCATGCTAATAAAACTATGGACTATTTTTATTTCACCGGGTAAGGCTCCACTAAACTGTAGCTCTTTTTCAGAAGCGACCTGGCAATCACAAATGATAGCTCAACGAAGTGGCTTATCGTCGTGTGGAAATTTATAACATTAGGCAAATACTCTAAACGACCGACGTCGATTCTAAATGTGGAGGGAGAAACCGGTGGACCCAGAGAAAAATCCATGCAATCCCGGGCAAAGAGAACATGCAAACTCCAAATATACAGCAGCAGGCGTCAGGGTCGGGATCAAACCCACGACCTCCTGCACACCAGGCGAGGGTGGAAGCATCTCTCCACCGCAGTCGCTGCTACCATGATAATCACCAGGGGCCTGGCAACGTAAGTGCTCTGGCCACACCAATTTCACCGGACCATTGGAAGGGGTGGTCTAACCACCCCCCCCCCAAAAAAAAACGCGAATCGGTGCGTTCCAAAACCCCTAAGGGTTAAAGATTTTGTCGATGTGAATTTTCGCACCGGCGCTTTCCATTTGTATGCGACGGATTGCCGAGTAAGCGCATACGGTTGGCGTTAGCAGGGCTCCCCGCAGAGAACTTACATGAATAATTGCGTCGTTAAAACGTGCTTTTTTAACGTCCCCTTCGGAGGCAATGCTGAATGACGGCGAGGCTTGTGCGTCGTCTGCAATATATCCCACCGGATTTTGTGAAAACAAAACTGTCATATAGAATGACAATAATAAATAACTTTTTGTGCACGGGGCCAGTTTTCAACGTTAAATGTTGCGTTGCTTGTTCTGTGCGCGCGACGGCGGATCTGCGTCGACCGGGTTGCATGCGCCCGCGTGCAAAAGTTGCTTGCAACCGAGTTACGTGAACCGTTCGATCTACGTGTCCCGGTTTTCCCCCGGAGGGTCGAGTGCCGAGCAGCGCACGCAACTTCGACACTCAGGGGTTTCACTCGGAGCGGATCATCACTATGGCGGTTACCATGACCCCCACGTTACTCGCGGACTGACGGACGGAGAGAGAGAGATAATATTTTCGCGGAATTCCGAACAAATCCCCCTTACTGATTACGTCCGGGGCGGTCAGATCTCCGGCGATTTTTCACGCGTGCTGAAATTTCACGCGATTCGCCACTGGCTGGCGGTGATCTCGCCACGGCACTTGCACCAGGCTAAGTGCACTTTAAAGCCATGTGAAGTGTCGAACGCCCACCGGCATGAGGTCACGGGACAGACCGATCGAGATGACTGGCCGATGCATCACCTGCGCCCCCTACTGCGCCAACTTACTGCGTTTTAGCCACCCGGTGCTGAGCGATTATCACACACACGGAGAGCAATCACGTTGGGACCGATGAGTTGTACAAACGGAGCTCGCCGACTAAACGGTTACGTGTCTCCGTGCCGGTTCAGGTGCGTCGTGACGACTTCCCTCCCCACGGTCTAGAATCAGAATCGGATTTATTTCTTCGTGCTGGAGGAATCCGATGAGCGATGAAGCTCTCCCTTGCTCTCTTTTCGCTCGCGTGTCCAGTGGGGTAGGGCTCGTAAAAGTCTCTCCCCAGTCCCCAGTCCCGTTTTCTTCGGCCAGACCAACGGGGGGAAGAAGTCACGGCTAGATTTTCCGGCTGCGATCCGGCACTCGCCGAATCGCTCCGGTCGCTCGATCGCTCACTGGCGGTCAGTCACCTCCTGGTCGCTCATCTTATCGCCACTACTACTGCCGCCACGACCTACCGCGGTCACCGTCCCCGTGAGCTTCACTCACCGGTTCACTCCGCTTACCCCACTGTGACGACGGCGACGACGGCGATGATAACGACGACGGCAATTGGGAAAAGTCGCGTAAGCAACATCGTCCCCCTACTGACCAGAGCATTGCCCACTTGTAGGCCCGGTGCTGTGTGTTCACCTTGTGCCACACAGGGACAGCTGCCAGGGTGGGTAGTGGGGGTGGAGGTGGTCCCCCTGAGAGTAGATTGCTGCTGCAGGGGCACCTCGAGATATACCACGTGGTAAATGTGCAAAACACTTGGGGGATTCTCCCATCTCCCGTCTTTCTCTCTCTCTCTCTCTGTCTCGAGTTTCCGCTGACCGCCGCCGAAAACGGCGATGACGATCACAGGAAGCAAATCGGTCCAACTTCGAGGCGCGTCTGGGAGGTGGTGCTGGAGGTGGGCAGGTTGAGAACCTCGACGATGGGAAGCAGCGTGGCCTTGCGAGTCTCAAACGAGAATTCCGCCTGGTGCCAGCGGCCATCTTGAATCTGTGGCGGTAAGATGCGGGGATGGGGGCAGGGGGCATGGTTAGTAAGCAGTTCCACTGCTAAACCAGCTGCTTAAGCAGTTCCACTGAGGACGACCGCGTGTGTTGCGATCGAAACGTCGTGATTTATTTTATTTTTTGCTTTATTTTTCTACCCACGTGACTTTACCGAAAGAACCAAAGAGTACGCAGCTCTTGTTCAGGAGTCGCGCCCTGGCTGCAAGTGAGGTGGCTTCTCATCACGTGGACATTTAAAGCAGAGAGGGTTGGCGGGCGGGCGGTGGGGGGAGTGGTGCAGTGGTAGGAGGGGGGCAGCCCGTCACAGCCCCCCCCCCCCCCGTTCGGCACCGCTGTTGCACGGACAAAACTGGCGACGCCAAACGAACCGAGCAGTCGTCCCGGACGACTCTGGGATGGAGGGGCCCCCCGGCACCGCCGAAGATGAGGCCGCTCCAGCCCCTGAAGCGGAGGCCGGAGCCCGCGGTGGTGGCGGCGGTGGTAGAACCGGTAGTGGAGCCGGTGGTGGGGCCGGTGGTGGGGCCAGCGGTGGGGCCGGCGGTGGCGTTGCCGTGCAGGGGCGAGTTGAGGCAGTGCACCGTGATGGTTTGCCAGGCCTCGGTGCTCAGCAGGTGCAGGAAGTTCATCTGCACCCGGCTGACGTCGTAGTGCGACTGCGGGACGGGGCGGAGAGCGAGGCGTCGTAGATGATGACGACGGCGACGGTGACAGTGATGGCGATGGTGACGATGATGATGACGATGATAATTATGACGATGACGACGATGGCGACGATGGTGACGATGATGATGACGATGATAATGATGATGACGATGACGACGATGGCGACGACGATGATTATGACAATGATGACGACGGCAACGATGGTGACGATGGTGACGATGATTATTATGATGACGATGATGACAATGGCGACGACGACGATGATTATGATGATGATTATGACAATGATGACGACGGCGACGATGATTATGAAAATGATGACGATGGCGACGATGATTATGACAATGATGACGACGATGATTACGACACACACAATACTGACACACACAGCAACAAAACAAGACAAAGATCCCCCGTGTAGCCTTAACAAATTGTAGGGGCAAGTGCTGTTAGCGGGCGCCTGTGAAGGCCGGCACGGCACACGAGGTGGTGGGTGGCCAACACCACGCCCGGCCGCCTTTGTATCCCTTTTGGCGATGTTTACACACCGGACCAGGTACTCTTGAGAGGCTGATTCGACCTAGGGGAAGCCCAGGACCGGTTCAGATAATCGTCACCGGTGTTAGCCGTGAGCGGGAATCGAACTCGGGTCGCCGTGTTCGTAGCGCAGCGAGCAGACCGCTGCACCACCGCTCCCCACTGCGACACACAAAGACAGAGATCCCCCGTATAGCCTCTAGCAGACTGTAGGGGCAAGTGCTGTTAATAGCAAGTAGCAGCACCTCAGAAGGCTGGAACGGTACACGAGGGAGCGGGAGGCCAGCACCACTGCAACACACACAGACCCACACGCACGGACACGCACGGACACGCAGACACGTACCATGGAGATTGATACGGGGTTGAAGCAGGTGCGTCCGCCCTTTGAGAAGCTGCAGGTGACTTGGATGGTGTCCGAGGCGCAGCCCGTATTGGGGTCTATGAAGTACGACCCTGGGAGCGCGGGAGGCAATGCGGGTCACGGGTGGAATGAGGATTCACGTTCCGAAGTTGCCGCCACCCTAAGGACGCCGTTCGTTTCCCCCTTCATTTAGTTCTTTTTTCTCGACGCGCCGTGCGGAGGGCAAACAGAGCGCTTCGAGGCCGAGACGGGAGAGAAGACTCCGTCATGATTCTGGCTAAATAGCCTGATGAGGCTGGTCGTGCTTGTCGTTGTAATCACGTAGGTAAAAAATGAAATTAAAATTAATAAAGATAAAATAATAAAAATCACGACGTTTCGGAGGCAACACAAGTCTCCGTCATCAGGTGGGACCGTCACAGCCAGATTTGCTGTCTCAAGTGAGGCAGGGATTCCAAGATGCAAGTTCTTAAATACAAGTTAAGGGGGAGGGGGGGGGGCTTATCTGAATGTGGTAGCCAATGAATGGAACATATTGGGAGGGGGGGGCGGGGCTAAAAGAGGTGTGCATAGGCGTCAACGTGTAAGAGGTTGTCGTCGTTGTTGTTGTTGGCGTAAACACCCAGCGAAACGTCACAGCGTCGCAATCATACATCACGTATACGTTAACTGTGAATAACCCGAATCAATCATAGATACCCGTTGTAATTCATATGACTACATTGACCCCCGTCCCTCTGATCTTCGCACCTGATTGGGCTCACAAGTGGCAGTGACATCACCACATTTACACGCCGCGTGTTCGAGACCGAAACAAGGAGGAGCGTTTCTCGACAAATTTTGGCTGCCGCCTGATGATGCCGGTGATTGTTGTTGTTGTAATTACCGGCGAAACGTCGCCGCAGCTACTCAAATCGTAAATGTTGCCGTGGGTTTAACTCTCCAACACACAACCGGTGTGGCTGAGTTAGTAACTAATAATTGGCACGTTTTCTTTACGTGACAATCCTTCGTAGTAGTAGTCGTAGGGCTTTTGCGACCAATATTATACAGAATAGAGTTTTATGGGGTCAGATCGCGCCGTTAAACCCGCCGCCACCCGACACAGCCAATTGGTGAGGGTGTGTCGTGTAAACAATCAGCATCACATTTATCCCTCGAAGACCTAAACAGGAGGAAGATTTATCCATAATTCTGTGGCCGTTGCCTGATGATGCTGCTGCTTGTTGTTGTTAATACCGATGAAACGTCACGGTAACTCGAATTGTCAATGTTGTGGTGGGTTTAACTATCCAACACACAACCGGTTAGTGCTGAACTAGTTAACTAGTCGGCACGTTTCAAACGAGACAGAACAATACAAACGAGACAGAACAATACAAACGAGACAGAACAATACAAACGAGACAGAACAATACAAACGAGACGGAACAATACAAACGAGTCAGAACAATACAAACGGGACAGAACAATACAAACGAGACAGAACAATACAAACGAGACAAAACAATACAAACGAGACGGAACAATACAAACGAGACGGAACAATACAAACGAGACAGAACAATACAAACGAGACAGAACAATACAAACGAGATGGAACAATACAAACGAGACAGAACAATACAAACGAGATGGAACAATACAAACGAGACAGAACAATACAAACGAGACAGAACAATACAAACGAGACAGAACAATACAAACGAGACAGAACAATACAAACGAGACAGAGCAATACAAACGAGACAGAACAATACAAACGAGACAGAACAATACAAACGAGACAGAACAATACAAACGAGACAGAACAATACAAACGAGACGGAACAATACGAACGAGACAGAACAATACAAACGAGACAGAACAATACAAACGAGACAGAGCAATACAAACGAGACAGAACAATACAAACGAGACAGAACAATACAAACGAGACAGAACAATACAAACGAGACAGAACAATACAAACGAGACGGAACAATACGAACGAGACGGAACAATACAAACGAGACAGAACAATACAAACGAGACAGAACAATACAAACGAGACAGAACAATACAAACGAGATGGAACAATACAAACGAGATGGAACAATACAAACGAGACAGAACAATACAAACGAGACAGAACAATACAAACGAGACAGAACAATACAAACGAGACGGAACAATACGAATGAGACGGAACAATACAAACGAGACGGAACAATACAAACGAGACGGAACAATACAAACGAGACAGAACAATACAAACGAGACAGAACAATACAAATGAGACGGAACAATACGAACGAGACAGAACAATACAAACGAGACAGAACAATACAAACGAGACAGAACAATACAAACGAGACAGAACAATACAAACGAAACAGAACAATACAAACGAGACAGAACAATACAAACGGAACAGAACAATACAAACGAGACAAAACAATACAAACGAGTCAGAACAATACAAACGAGACGGAACAATACGAACGAGATGGAACAATACGAACGAGACAGAACAATACAAACGAGACAGAACAATACAAACGAGATGGAACAATACGAACGAGACAGAACAATACAAACGAGACAGAACAATACAAACGAGACAGAACAATACAAACGAGATGGAACAATACGAACGAGACAGAACAATACAAACGAGACAGAACAATACAAACGAGACAGAACAATACAAACGAGACAGAACAATACAAACGGAACAGAACAATACAAACGAGACAGAACAATACAAACGAGACAGAACAATACAAACGAGACAGAACAATACAAACGAGACAGAACAATACAAACGAGACAGAACAATACAAACGAGACAGAACAATACAAACGGAACAGAACAATACAAACGAGACAAAACAATACAAACGAGTCAGAACAATACAAACGGGACAGAACAATACAAACGAGACAGAACAATACAAACGAGACAGAACAATACAAACGAGACGGAACAATACAAACGAGACGGAACAATACAAACGAGACAGAACAATACAAACGAGACAGAACAATACAAACGAGACAGAACAATACAAACGAGACAGAACAATACAAACGAGACAGAACAATACAAACGAGACAGAACAATACAAACGAGACGGAACAATACAAACGAGACAGAACAATACAAACGAGACAGAACAATACAAACGAGACAGAACAATACAAACGAGACAGAACAATACAAACGAGACAAAACAATACAAACGAGACGGAACAATACAAACGAGACAGAACAATACAAACGAGACAAAACAATACAAACGAGTCAGAACAATACAAACGGGACAGAACAATACAAACGAGACAGAACAATACAAACGAGACAGAACAATACAAACGAGACAGAACAATACAAACGAAACAGAACAATACTAACGAGACAGAACAATACAAACGAGACAGAACAATACAAACGAGACAGAACAATACAAACGAGACGGAACAATACAAACGAGACGGAACAATACAAACGAGACAGAACAATACAAACGAGACAGAACAATACAAACGAGACAGAACAATACAAACGAGACAGAACAATACAAACGAGACAGAACAATACAAACGAGACAGAACAATACAAACGAGACAGAACAATACAAACGAAACAGAACAATACTAACGAGACAGAACAATACAAACGAGACAGAACAATACAAACGAGACAGAACAATACAAACGAGACGGAACAATACAAACGAGACGGAACAATACAAACGAGACAGAACAATACAAACGAGACAGAACAATACAAACGAGACAGAACAATACAAACGAGACAGAACAATACAAACGAGACGGAACAATACAAACGAGACGGAACATTACAAACGAGCGAGGCCGCACAAACGAGTCAGCGTGTCACACACCGTCCGCCATGAGCTGCTCACAGTCCATGAGGTCTCGGCAGATCCGCGCCGGGTTTTCCCTTGTGCCCAGCGGCTTCCGGATGCTCTGCACCAGCCCGCTCAGGTAGTGCAGCGTCTTCACCACCTCCACGCCCTGCAAAGACAAAGATCCCCCGTGTGGCCTTTACAGACTGTTTGGGGCAAGTGCTGTTAGCGTGGAACAGCGCATATGAAGGCCGGCACGGCGCACGAGGGGGTGGGTGGCTAGCACCACGCCCGTCCGCCTTTGTCTCCCCAGTGGCAATGTTTTCTGACCGCACCAGGCACTCATTTGAGGCTGAGTCTACCTAGGGGAGGCCCAGAGCCGGTTCAGAGCGGGAATCGAACTTGAGTCACTGGGTGTAAGAGAGAACAATACAGAACAATATCTTCTTGGGTGTTTCGCTAAAGTCACGTAGATAGGTTAGAAGAAAATAACAAAAACAACAAAAACCTACGACGTTTCGATGGCCACAGAAGCAATCGTCATCAAGCAATCGTCATGTGTTGCGATCGAAACGTCGTAGTTTTTTTGTTATTTTTGATATTCTATTCGAACCTATCTACGTGACTTTACCGAAAGACCCAAGAATATATTGTTCCGTATTGTTTGTATTGTTCCGTCTCGTTTGTATTGTTCTGTTCTGTTTGTATTGTTCTGTCTCGTTTGTATTGTTCTGTCTCGTTTGTATTGTTCTGTCTCGTTTGTATTGTTCTGTCTCGTTTGTATTGTTCCGTCTCGTTTGTATTGTTCTGTATCGTTTGTATTGTTCCGTCTCGTTTGTATTGTTCTGTCTCGTTTGTATTGTTCTGTCTCGTTTGTATTGTTCTGTCTCATTTGTATTGTTCTGTCTCGTTTGTATTGTTCTGTCTCGTTTGTATTGTTCTGTCTCGTTTGTATTGTTCTGTCTCGTTTGTATTGTTCTGTCTCAAACCCAGTCACTCAAATTCGATCCCCGCTCTGAACCGGCTGGCCACCCGCCCCCTCGAGTGCCACAACGACGGCCTTCGTAGGCGCCGCTGCTCGCAAACAACGCTCGCCCCAACAGCCTGACGAACGCTACGCAGGACGGGAGGGACCCTCTGCCTCCGTGCAGCGATCCGATGGCTCGCTGGAGAACCGCCGCGCCTCTCACCTCGACGCGCAGAGCGGCTCCGGACTGGGTGAGAACTTTGGTAGAAGCTTTGGGGTCGTCGCGCTTCTGAAAGAGACGGTGCCCCCGACCATTCTGAAGCCGGTTAGCGAGCGACGCGCTGGGGAGTGGCGCGGGCTCGTAGCGTCAGCGCGTTAACCGCTGGTGCTTGCCTGCCCCATGTAACGGTGATAATACAACAAAGACCCCTCCCTTCCCCCCCGTATAACAATAGGTTTTATCTTCTTGGTTCTTTCGGTAAAGTCACGTAGAAGGGAAAGAATAAAATAATAAAAATAAAATACAATTCTCACGACGTTTCGGCCACAACGCAAGCAGCCGTCCTCAGGTGAAGAACAGGTCTGTCGGGAAGACAGCGTCTGAATGGGCACCACCAAGCTTGACAGCGTATATTTAAGCTGGGTTGGAGGGGGGAAGGGGCGCCTTGACAAAATAATTTGCATATCAAGAGGAATTTAGCATATTTATGGGAAATGCAGATATGGGATTAGTCACTACTTTTGGAATGCGTAGGAGGTGGGGAGGGGGGTTTTCAAAGTCATATTATGCCCGTGCATGATGCAGTATGCAGGATGAGCAGCATCAAAGGGAGGGAGTAGGGTTAGCAGTAATGGAGGGAAGGAATTTTAATATTAAGGAGCTGCAGCCTCTAAACCACCACATAAAAAAACTAAAATATAAATAGGTTTTACCCTTTCTGGCAATAAAACAGGTTAAGATGTTAAAACACCAAACTGAAACATTTTTCAAGGAATCGTGTTATTGTTAACGACACGTACTTGTGGTTAACAAAAAACATGCTCTGATAGTAGATGATGATGCATTGTCTTTGAAACTGATTGGTCCACACCAGAGACAGCTTTCTTTTGAGCCGCGTCTCAAAGCGGTGTTAGACCAAAGGATGCCAAAAGGCGAAAAGCTGTATGTGCAAACTGATAATACACACACACACAAACACATCGATTAATATACAATCCTGCCACCGATTAATGTGTTCACTCACCACAGTGGGGGCAGGGATGCTCGGAGGACCCTACACACACACGCGCGAAGAAAAACACAAAGATCCCCCATATAGCCCACAAAGACTGTTGGGGCAAGTGCTGTTCGTGAAGACCTGCGAAGGCCGGAACATCGCGTGATCGCGGGGACGGCGTGGCCAACGTCACTCATACCCGGCCGCCTTTGTCTCCCCAGCGCTGATGCACCAGGTACCCATTCAAGGCTGAGTCGACCTAGTGGAGGTACACGGCAAGTTTGACTTGTATGTATGCACGTTGGACTTATTTCGCAGCATACTCAGCCAACCGTGTAAAATCGGAGGTGCAATTAAGGGCTGGACAAGCCCCTGCCATAAGAATATGGAATTCCCACTGCTGGCTCAGCAGAGGTCGCAACCGGGTACCCGATACCCGTACCCTACCCAATACCCGGCTACCCGTACCCGGCCGGGTATGGGTACGGGTACCCGTTTGTGACCCTGGTGCGGCCAGGTACGGGTACGGGTAGACCGTGAGTCACTGGTGAGTAGCCGTTTGTCACTCATTTCCCAAAGTCTTGTCTCTTCTCACAATTCAAGTTCCTAGAATCAACCCACCCGCGCCTGCAACATGGCTTCATCCCAGAGGTCGCAATCGGGTACCCGTACCCGTACCCTACCCGATACCCGGCCGGGTAGCCGGGTATCGGGTAGGGTACGGGTACCCGTTTTCGACCCTGGTGCGGCCGGGTACGGTTACGGGTAAGGAATCAAAACCCGTTTGCGACATCTGTGGCTCGGGAACGGCCACAGAGGTGGACGGCGTGGGCTCAGTGGCGATGTGCGGATATCAGGATTACGGGATCGTTCTGGGTACGCATTCGGAAGCGTCACTCCACAATTGAACGGACGGAGACGATGATGAATCAGACGACATTCTTACCGGAGACCCTGGGAGACCCCGGGGTCCTGTGGGTCCCTGGGAAATGAAAGAAAAGTCAATAAATAAAAAAAACCACGGATGAAAAAGCACACACGCACATGGATTCTGTAACAACATTTTTTGCATTTTTATTTTATATGACCAAATAAGCCCACCCCCCCCCCCCCACTGAGTTGTGTAACTCTTTTTCAGAGGCGACCTGACCCTCACAAATTATAGCCCAAAGAAGTGGGCCCACCGTCATCATCATCACGTGGAAATTCATAGCAGCAGCCAAATCATCTAAACGCTTGTTGTTGATTCCAAATGTGGAGGGAGAAACCCGAGGACCCGGAGAAAAATCCACGCGACCACGGGGAGAAAGAGAGAGACGCAAACTCCAAATATACAGCAGTAGGCGTCAGGGTCGGGATTGAACCCACGACCTCCTGTACACCAGGCGAGGTAGTTAACATCTCCTAGCCACCGAGATGATGAAGAGAGAGAGAGAGAGACACGCAAACTCCAAATCTACAGCAACAGGCGTCAGGGTCGGGATCGAACCCACGACCTCCTGTACACCAGGCGAGGTAGTCAACATCTACTAGCCACCATGGCGTTAGGGTCCAGGATCGAACCCACGACCTCCTGTACACCAGGCGAGGTAGTTAACATCTCCTAGCCACCCTGTAACAATTCCCAACAGGAGCGCTTCGTTTTGATTCGCGGGGCGGGAAGCCAATGGGGAGCAGCTATTGGGGCAAAATGCGCTTGCAAAAAACTTTGATTTACCACGCTGATTTTGTGCCTCCAAAGTTGTGGGCTTTAACCCGTTGATCGATGTTCACCGGTTTTGTCCGGGATGAGTCCATAACAGCCACGCAACTTTACCCGACAATCTCACTCATATCGGATGACCTCTAGGGGAGTTGCCGTGACCCCCCACGTTACCTTGCCCCCACGTTACACACGGGCGCCTTCATGTTCATCACCAACCTCAGCCAGAAGGCGTTTTAACCAGTGTCTGTATTTGTATTATTTTTGCACATATATTATAGTTATTACTAGCTGTACAACCCGGCTTCGCCCACGATTTGGATTCGCCACGCCCGGCCGCCTTTATCTCCCCAGTGGCGATGTTCACACACCGCAGCAGTTATTCGTTTGAGGCTGAGTCGACCTAGTGAGGCGCAGGACTGGTCAAAATAATCGTCACCGGTGGTGGCCGTGAGCGGGATTCGAACTCGGGTCGCCGGGTTCGTAGCGCGGCGCGCTACCCGCTACACTACGATGCGTTACGCTTCCACATGCGTGGGTCACGTGACAGATGTGACGTCACAGCTCACTTGCTGTGCAAAAAAAAAATGCATTATTGAGCTCTCCCCCCCCCCCCCCAAAAAAAGTGCATTTTTATAATTTGTGCATGGTGTACAGTCTGGAAAGTACCCACATGGCAAATTTCAAGTTTGTTGCATGTCGGGAAGTACGCGAAACATTTTGAACAGACACACATAATCACAAGTTTGCCCTTTATACATATGCATGAAGATGTAAGCTGGAAGCCATTACCTGAGGACCTTGAAGACCCTGTCAGAGACAACAGAAAATAAAAACGAATTTACAATACATGCTACGAAATAGATGAACATTTTCATAATAAAAATGTAAAATTGGTTAAAATGAACATAACGTAAATACAAGTATTATTTAACATAATTATTCAATAATAGTTCATACAGTGACTTCCCTTCAATTACAATGATGCTGTGCAGTAGCATCATCATCATATTCTCTCTCGTCACTTTATCTATCACCATGGGTAGTGTTGAGTCTATGGGCAGTGTTGAGTCTATGGGTAGTGTTGAGTCTATGGGCAGTGTTGAGTCTATGGGCAGTGTTGAGTCTATGGGCAGTGTTGAGTCTATGGGTAGTGTTGAGTCTATGGGCAGTGTTGAGTCTATGGGCAGTGTTGAGTCTATGGGCAGTGTTGAGTCTATGGGCAGTGTTGAGTCTATGGGCAGTGTTGAGTCTATGGGCAGTGTTGAGTCTGTGGGTAGTGTTGAGTCTATGGGTAGTGTTGAGTCTATGGGCAGTGTTGAGTCTATGGGCAGTGTTGAGTCTATGGGTAGTGTTGAGTCTATGGGTAGTGTTGAGTCTATGGGCAGTGTTGAGTCTATGGGCAGTGTTGAGTCTATGGGCAGTGTTGAGTCTGTGGGTAGTGTTGAGTCTATGGGTAGTGTTGAGTCTATGGGCAGTGTTGAGTCTATGGGCAGTGTTGAGTCTATGGGCAGTGTTGAGTCTATGGGTAGTGTTGAGTCTATGGGCAGTGTTGAGTCTATGGGTAGTGTTGAGTCTATGGGTAGTGTTGAGTCTATGGGTAGTGTTGAGTCTATGGGTAGTGTTGAGTCTATGGGTAGTGTTGAGTCTATGGGCAGTGTTGAGTCTATGGGCAGTGTTGAGTCTATGGGTAGTGTTGAGTCTATGGGTAGTGTTGAGTCTATGGGTAGTGTTGAGTCTATGGGCAGTGTTGAGTCTATGGGTAGTGTTGAGTCTATGGGTAGTGTTGAGTCTATGGGCAGTGTTTAGTTTATGAAATGGCAGGGGGGGGGGGTGGAGGCTCGTGGAGCGAAGCCGATAAGGTGAATAACGGGTCGTACCATGTCTCCTTTCCCCCCATTCTCTCCTTGAGGCCCCTAGAGAAGAGACAAAAAACACCACAACAGACACAACGTTGAATCTAGAGGGACTGTCAAGACCTCGTTCAGTTTGCGAGCACCTATTGAGGCGCGACACACCACACGCTCGCCTTCTCTTCCTTAACGCACCACGGCGGCCGTGGTTATGACAGCTTTTCTTAGAGCCTAGTCTCCATTGGACCAATCAACTTCAAGGATAGTGCATATCATTATCATCATCAGAGTTGTTTCTTTTTGTTTGCATTTTGACTGCTTGTGTTTTGGTTATTGCAAACATGATGCCTTGTATAAACGTGTCAGTTATTGTATCAGTTGAAAGGGTAAAAACCTATTACTATATTTTGCCACTGGTAAAGGAGGTCTCATAGTATAAATGGTTTTGTTGTGTTTCAAATGTTTTAAATATCATGATTCTTTCAGCATGAATCGCCTAATGAAGATAACATTTTAAGTTGTTCGTGTTTAGAAACCGCTGCAACACCACAGTCTGATTTGTGCCGTGAAGGCGTCCGAGTGAGAGATCTCCCCCTCGTTCATTGCGAGCAGCTTCTCGCATTTTAGCCACGCCGTTTGAGAGCCATTCAGAGCGGCGAAAAAGGCATATTCTTAGTTTTTTTCGGTAAAGTCACGTAGGTAAAAAATTAAAATTAATAAAAGTAAAATAAAAATAAAATAAAAATCACGACGTTTCGGAGGCAACACAAGCTTCCGTCTTCAGGTGGAACCGTCACAGCACGATAGCTGTATCAAGTGAGAGAAATTCCAAGAAAACAGTATTTGTATATATATACTGGTTGAGGGTGGGAGGAGCCAAGGTAGGCTCTGAATATTATATTTGTGAGGTTCGGTGCGGCTGAAGCACGCTGTTAGGAATGAGCCTTTGTTGTGTAAACTAGGTGCGGATGATGTAAAGGTGCGTGTAAATGGGACTGAGCCTTTTTGTTATGTAGAGGTGGTGCGGCTGAAAAAAAATTAACCCGAAAAAACAAAGTTTTTCACTATAAATCCTTTATATGCGAGGCGGCTAGAGTC